TCTTCTATTTTCTCTTCTTTAGTGGGTGTTCAAATGCAAATCTAGAGAGCTCTGAATTTCTTACACTCAGAACAGTCTGGGATTCCTCCTATATGTGAAATACAGTTAAAGTCTGAACCAAATAGTTCAAAAGGAAGAAGGCATTTTCCTCACAGAAGTCATATGCTTTAAGCTAATCTGGTGATGCCTGGGGGACCTTTGGAATGTTTGTGATTGCCAGGACTTATGTATTGAGTGAGAAACTTGGGTTCACACCTTGTGCTTTGAGAAAGTGGAATATGTATCACAGGGGCTTGTAACAGACTGGGCCAGTGCTTGGACTAAATAGTACAGACCATAGGGTCTCCTGAGGAGCAGATCTGAAAATCTGTGGTGTCACATTCAAAGGAATTTGGTGGTAGATGGTGAAGACTGTGCTGACCCAGGAGTTTGATTTTGCCTTCCATGCTAGGTCATGGGAAGGTTGAACAGTTCTGCTCCTCCTGAACAGATGCAGTTTGCCTGGTTGTTACATTCTTTTCAAGACTGAAATTGGAGTGTTTGTGAAAACCACCAGCATTCCTTAAAAATACTTATTTCAAAGGCAACACCAGTATTCCAGTGGAACTTTAATGGTTTTTACTGGAATTTACTGACTCCTACAGCAGGACAGTCAACTTTAAAATGTAGAGCAATATTCCACAAATCTGATCAAGGAAATGTATTTCAGGTTGAGAATAGTATCCATTTCTGTACTTGGAAAACTTCTGCAAGTGTTTTATGATGTGGTTGGAGTTCATACGTAGAACTGCCAGGACTGATGCATCATTACATTGGAAATGCAAAAAAATTTGCATCTTGAAACTGTGGGAAGATTTTCCTTCATGTGGGCTGGGAGAGGGCAGGAGACGAGACCCAAAGTCCTGCCTCTGTCACTTTTTTATCAGTTAGATTGTAATGTCTGATTCATCCTTCCCTCAGAAGCCTCCTCACTTGCTTTAAGGAGCCTTTTTGTTTATCAGATTGGAAGGAGTCCTGTCTGACCTCTCTCATCTGTCTGTCATCTGTCAGGACACTTCTGAAACCTAAAGGTTATCTTTGATGGTAGAGCTCATGATACAGCTTAGAATGGCACTGAGAGAAATCATCCAATTGCAAGCTTACATAAAGCTCCCCTAAATAAGTGTTTCTGTCTTACTCATTTCACTGATTTTAGTTTTATTGTATGGACCTGGGATAATACTTTGGTTTGTAGCTTTGCCTATATTACTGTCTTTATAATCCCCTCCCTTTTGCCACCATGATATAAAAATTGATTTCTTGAACCCGCTGATGTATTCTGTTGAGTATTTTTGATGAGCCACACTGATAAATGCATTTTAAAAACTGTGTTTTCTATTATGGGGTTGGGAACCAGGCATGAAATTTAATTGTCTCTTAGTCTTCCTTTATTGGTACATAAGCTTGTGGCACTGAGAAGAGCAAGAAACAACTAGCAAGCATGACACCAGAGAGGCAGGACAGGGGGGCAGCAGTGTTCACTTTGAAGATTTTCTTTCAACCCAGTATTAGACAGGAAGAAAAAAAAAGAAAAGAGTATTTGTATGAGTATATTGTCATGCTGGCAAGGCCAAAGCTTTCACTCTGCTTCAGAGTAATGAGTTCCTCTTCAGGGGTAGTTCTTTAACAGATACTTAGTGCTGTACTGCTGAATTCAGCTGTCCTGGAGAGAGCTGGAGAGGGCAGTGAATGTCACTTCTACAGTTCTGAGGGTTTCTATTTCAGCTTGTGTGTGTAGTAGGTAGAGTAAAAGAGCCAAAAACAAAAAAGGAAAAAAAAAAAGATAATCTTCAATTTGATAAACCTTTAATATAAAGGTTTATAATATAAACCTTTAAATAAAAATTTTAAAAAAGGAAGTATGTTCTGTGCCTAGCACCGTGTCTGATAGTTCTCTGTAGGTTTTGGTAGAGGTTTTTCTTCCCCCAAACATCTCTTTGGATAAGTATTAAGGACCTTGAATTCAGTTTGGGGAGGCCAGTGAGCAGGTAGGCTAGTAAGACTTGGCGAGCGTCACTTCTGTGGGCCCTTCTCTGCAGTTTCAGTGACAAAGAGGACTGAGCTTACCCTGGGGTTTTAAGAGCACATATTTCTAATAGAACTTGGCAGTTCAAGGGCTAGAGAAGCGTTTTAATCTTTTGTGCCCACCCAGTCTCTATACAAATGTAAATATGTCTGTCTTTAACAATTTGCCAAGAAATGTGGTTTTAATTTGTTAGCAGCGATCCCGCTCCCTGCAGCTCTTTCAGAGTCGAGTCGCAAGTCTGGCGGTGCTTTGACGTTTTTCTCTGTCATGGTGTCATTGTTTATATGATGTCTGCTTCTGCTGTCCTCCCTTTTATGCCTGGAATATTTTTCTTTAATTATTTCTCTGTCTAAAAGGAATCTGGGATTACTAGACAGGATGAGAGCAGATTAGCTTTTTTTCTTTCTTTAGCAAGTCCTGAAGTTCCCATAGGAAATAAATAGTATTCCCAAAACAGACAGTATGTTTTTTGTTGTTTTTTTTTTTTTTTAATTAACTAAAATTATTAAGTCTAATAAAGAAAATAAAGGAAGTATCACCAATAATGGCTGTGTGTCTTAGTAGTATATGGAGTGCCCACTGTTGTTATTTATGACTCCCTCTGCCTTCTATTGTGGACTTACTCCAGCCTTAGGGAGTTTACATCACTACTAATAGCAAAAGGCTCTCTGGTTCCCACAGAGTCTTTCAGAGCCTGACTCATATGCCTTATGTTAATTGTTCAGCTCTCAAAATACAGCACTTACAGGGTGTGGTTCCGAGGGGAAAATCTACTGTACTTAGAGGGCATGTTCAGAAGTGTTTCACATATAAATCATTTTGATTTTTACTTTTTTTGATGCCTTAACCCTTTCTGTCACTGCTTTGTGTGATAAGTTATTTGTGAGCAAAACAAAAGGTTGATGACAGCGCAGTGAGGGAATGTGTTAGCCCTGCAACTTGGGGCCATTAGCTCCAGCCTGACTCAATTCACAAGCGCTGTGATTTTGTCATCCTGGCCTCTCTGCAGGGTCTGCTCCTCACAGCCTGGCACGACCCAGTCCTGCAGGGCCCGGAGTCAGAGGCAGGTCGGAGCTGGGGCTTGTTCTTATCTGCAGTAGGGAGTACAGGGGACAGGAGCTGCCCCAGCCCTCCCTGGCTTTGGTACCAAGGGCTCCTTTCCATGCGTTGCTTACCACAGTGGCAAGAGTTGCCTGAGTGGGCTGCTGATCCTGGCCCGGTCGGCGTGCTGGGGGCTGAAGGTTTACCAGAATTAACCTCACCCCTTTCCACCCAGCAGGAGCTCAGATGGGCTCTGGCTCTCCGGCCAAGTACGAGTGCTCTCCAGCTGCTTTGATGCAGGGTGATTGTGCAAGAGCCTTCAGCCTCCAAGTTGTGTGGCTGTTACTGGAAATCAAAATAGTTTCTACAGACTTTGCAGTCTCTGCCTTCTCTTAAAATAAGCATAAGGCTCGAATATCTTAGTAGTATTTCATTCTTTAATGGCTTAGTATTAAAAGTATGAAAATATATTTAGTCAAATTAGGGGAATCTACCTCCAGCAAGAATAGAAGCAGCAATTAATCCCTCAGATTAAACTAGTTAAGCTTGATTTCTGAGGCTGGGATCACATTGCATGTATGCTCCATGTGTTTCTGCCTGCTGTAAACACACTCCTTACACCACGCGTGGACAGAACTTCATGCCTGGCTCAGTGTGCACATTTGTGTGACTTGTCTCTCTGAAAGGAAGGGCAGAACAGCTGTAGCTTTAAGTGCCAAAATGGCTTTACTTCTTTGCCTGACTGCCCTCCTTCTGCTTGCAAAATAAGAAGCTGTTTTCGCTGGCTGTTTCTTCTGGAAAAAGCATGGAGGTCCCCCCTGCCCTCTCCTCTAAAACAGAAATAAAAATGGGCAGGGCTTAATTTCCCCTAAGTGACAGGTTCCCAAGGGCTGTTCCAGGCAGGGGTCATGTACAGGCTGTGGCTTTGTGCCTCTGCTGGCTGTCTCTGTGTCCCTCAGTTCTTCCACACCACCTGGTTCCAGTGCCTCCCCAAGGAGTGGGCTGGAGCTCCCTGTGTTTGGGGAGCCGTCAGAGGCTGCCTCGTGGAGGCTGAGGGAGAAAAGTGCTCTCAAAGACAAGGAGATGCACAAAGCCTCTTCTCCTCTTGACTTCACCACTTCTTCTTCCTCGCCTCCATAGCCTCAGACGTAATACTTCTTTGGAAGTGTGTGGTAGTTAATAGTGAAATCAGCAAATAGCCCTTCTTTGATTGAGATTGTTTCATTGTGAAGGGAAGTGCTCCCAGCTTGAAGAAAAAGAGCATTTTCCTTCCCTCCCGTTCGCCCCAACCTTGTATTATATAAAAGGATGGTGCTGCTGTTAGCTGAGACCAGAAAGAATTCCCCTGTTGTCCTGTAGTAGCCAACCACTACAAACTGCAAGCGTTTAAATGTTAGAATAAAAAGTTTTAACCCTTGCCTTGTTCAATGAGCAAATAACGCTGTGTATGTTTTTTTCTAAGTATGGAAAATTATGGGAATTCCTCTGAGAATAAGTGTATAGACCACTGCGCCAGTCAGTCTCTTCAGAAAAAAACTGACAAGCGTGCTCCTGTCTGCAAGAGAGATTCCTGGCATTTGTCACAGTTTGAGCCACAAAGATGTCAAATATTTGCCAACAGTTTCCTCAGATGGTTTGGAAAGCTACATCCTTTGCACTGCAGTCCTGTTTGTTTGCGGTGTATTTTAGCATATGAAATATGTTGCTTGGGAGTCAAGGGGAGAGAACTGACTAGACTCCCAAATATTAAAATATTAAAAATAATTGTTTCTTTTAGACTGCTCAGATCAAAATAATAAAGAACAGCTGTAAATCTTAGTATTAGAAATGGAGCTTTCTGTTGGATAATCATATTTTGATGTGTCATGCTTTAAACCTGTATTTTCTTTTGGAGCAGAAAGAAGAACTTTCCAATGGGACGTCTGAATATTTTACTGAATCTGCTGAGAACAAGAAGCGTAAGATTAGTCTGAGTGAGCAAATAAAGCGAGACATCCTGAGAAAAATGTATGCCACTATTCTTTATAAACTTTTGAACTTAGCTTATGAAATAAAATTTTAAATAATATAGAATTTTAACTAATATAAGCTACTTTACAAAAGATTGTTTTAAATTACTGAAAGATTACTACTGTAGTGTGGATAAGCACATAAAATGGTTGTTGTTTTTTACAGCGTGGAGAAAGCTATTACAACCCACATAGATGTCACACATAGCACTAGGCAGAGTCAAAACAGGCTGTTTTTCCTTGAATGAAGCTCTGAGCCAAAATAAATATATGATGCTTGAATCGGGTGAAAAACACTTCATAAATATTTTTTTTGTTGTTCATTTTGAGACTCTAGATCAATAGTAACAATTAAAGAGTATCCCAGGTGGAGTGGATGGGGAGAATGAGCTGATCAGCTGAACTTGTCACTGCTCATGTGGTACCAGGACTCCATCCCAACTTGTGGGAGATGCCAGCAGCCCCAAATCACCTGTGAAATCAGGGATTTGCTGCACACCCTGGCAACTTTTCTTTTTACCACTCTTGTCTCATCTGTGTTGTCTTTAGCAATGAGATTAGCTTTGGAGGTGTGCCAGCTCTGCCTGTTTTGGATGTGCCCCTTTGACAGGAGTTAGATGGGCTGTCCTGGGAGCTGCTGGGCAGCAAAACGTGGTCTCAGCCTGGGGCCATCTCTAGCAACGTCTTTAGACTCAAAATGCAGCTTCAGGACTGAGGTATAAAGTTCATCTTTCGGGCTGTGTGAAATGCAATCCATAGGTAACACACTGCTGAGGAGTGTTTGTGTACTGACACTCCTCAGGTCCCTTGTGATCCCGTTTTCCTGTGTAATTCCTTTCAGAAAATCATCTACTTGCATTGCCTAAGTCCTTGCCAGATGAATGGGCTTGATACTAGATGAGTAGTGGTTAACTTTAAAGCAATGCTTTGAAATGTCCTGGGAAAAATTCCAGAGGAACATTCTAAAATAGAGATTAGGAGCTCTCACACAGAGGCACACTCACTGCCTCTCCCGCCTGCCCCCTCTGTCCTGCAGATATGCATTATACATGGGGATGCATGGGAATGGTTTGCAATCATTTAGGCACTTAGGAAATGCTATTTTATCTAGCCGGTTCAGAAAGGAATTCAATATACTTCTGCTCTGTTGACCTTTAACATCTGTAATGAATCCAGTTCTGCCTCTTGGAAAAGAGTGTGAACTCACTCCTTCATGGCTTGGTCATTAATAAATAGGGCTCTCCCCTAGCGCAGTGGAAAATCAGATGGATAACGCTTGATATGATCCACACTAGACAAACACTGCTGCTTGTCAAGATGATACACAGGGATGTTTTCCATGTTCAGAAATTGGGTGGCCCGAGTGGTATTTCAGAGTTGGAAAACAGTAAGTGGAGTCAGTAAAGGTTCGTTTTTAATTTTAAAAACAAAATTCCTTTTTATTGCAGTGTGAAGAGGACAAAACCAAGGAGAAGTAGTGCAAGCAAACCTCAAATCAGCAAGGACTCCAAGAAAGTGTATCTTGGCTGGGCAGACTCACAGACAGAGAACAGAGACTGTGAGACTTCTCTCAGTGCTCGGTCTGCTGTGAAACGTAGGAGCCCAGGCCTGCTGAAGGACTGCACAAACACAGCTGAGAGCAGCCTGGGGCTTCCTGTGCTGGAGCAGAGAAACGATGTTCATCAGAGAGAGCCAGAAGAGGTTCACAGCCAGCACAAACCTCACTCTCTGGAGCGGTCGGAGGCGAGTCTGCTAAGTGAGAGCCCTCCTTGCAGCTCTGGGACAGCACTGCCGGCTCCTAGACAAAGTCAGAGGGTGACCAGAGCACAGGCTCAGCTCAACAGCCCTGGTTCAGAGGAAAAGCTGGAGCATTTCACAAAAGTGTCCTCTGAAGGGACTCCTTTAACTTCTATCAATACAGAAATGAGTAAGTGTGATGATCATTGTTTGAGTCCATTCCTGGAGGAGAAGACACCTCTTAATTCCAGGTTGTTTTCAAAGCAAGACATGGCAAAGACTGTGGTTGACAAGAAGTCATTGACTTTGAGAAAAAGTCCCTCCTGGTCTCTTTTTGTGAGCAGCAGTGGAGTGCAGACAAGCCAAAGTGAGCCAAGCACAGCCCCTGAAGAGCTGCCTGCAGTGCCGACATCAGGTCTAGAACTGCACCCTGTGTCTTCAGAGAAGCTTTCCCAAAAAAGAAAAAAAGAAGTGGAAAATGGTCTCGGGAAGTTAAAACTGCGAAGGCTTAAGAAGTCAAAATCTGAAATACTGCCTTAATAGCATGGGTGGTCAGCCAAGGTTGTGCCTAAGCAAAGAGCAGGAAGCAATTCAAAATGATGGAAAACAATAAAAATACAAAATCAAAATTAGAGAACACATTAAGAAAATTTAGTTACCTAAGGATCTTAGTCATTTGGCACTGTAATAAAGGTAATCCTTTTAAGTCTTTAGGAATTAGTCATGATTATTGCACAAGTCATCATCATATTTATAGAAAGAAAAATCTCTTACAAAATAATATTTACTAAGCAAAATTTTAGATTTATACATATTCAGTGCTATTAAAAAGTCATATCAGCTGCTGACAGCAAAAGTTAAAATTCCTTGTGTGATCTGTTAGCAGCTGCAGTTATTTGGTCTCTTGCTTGATTCTGAGCATGTAGTTTATTTTAGTAAAAAATTAACCCTCCCTCTATATTAGAAATTCCTGGTTTACTAACATGATCTTTACAGCAATAAAGCAAATTAAGTTTATTTCAAATAGCTCTTACCAGGATTAATGGCTGATGATTTGAGGTCCACTTCTTCAGAGAAGTTTCAAAATAACTATAGTTTCTGCTTGTGTTGTTTTGATATGAACATTTAATTCTAGCCCATGTTGTGGATACAAGTCATCATGCATTCAGTCTTGGGGGAAAATGAAGGTTCCCTTTATATATTTAGATTTATGTATTTACACCTGGATGTGCAAACATTGTTCTTGGGTGAAGTTCACATATAAACATATATACACATCTTCATGGATACATGTTTCAAAATCAGGCCTTGCTTGTGTGCAAGGGCAACATGCTGGTTTTCACGTGGAAGTAATACCAGAATTAAATCTTATTTTAAGATAAATTTTAATTTCACAGTGCTTGTTCATACTGCTTCTTAAATTTAAATGCTAATGAGCTGAGGAAATGAACCTTTTTTATTCCATGCTTATCTTTTTTAATGTGTAGAATAAATGTATAAGCCGTTTTCTTTCATCATTCTCAAGCTCAGTGTGATCACAGCCCCTGAGCCAGGAGGGGCCTGTCCCACCCTGCTCTGGCCTCCAGGGCTGGGGACACTGTGGGCACTGGAATGTAAAAAAGATACAGAGGTGCTTGAGGACATCCAGAGGAGGGCACCAGGATGGTGAAGGCCTTGAGGGGCAGCCCTGCGAGGAGCTGTTCAGCCTGGAGAAGGGCAGACTGAGGGGAGACCCCATTGCAGCTACAGCTTCCTGGTGAGGGGAGCAGGAGGGGCAGGCACTGATCTCTCTGGGTGCTGACAGTGGCAGCACCTGAGGGAATGGCCTGAAGCTGTGTCAGGGCAGGTGTAGCTTGGACATGGGGAAGAGCTTTTCCACCCAGACCCTGGCTGGGCTCCGAGCAGGCTCCCCTGAGAAGTGGTCACTGCAGCAGGCCTGGCAGAGCTCAGGAGGCATTTGAACAACGCTCCATGCACAGGAGGGATTGTTGGGCTGTCCTGTGCAGGGCCAGGAGCTGGGCTTTGGTGATCCTTGGGAGTCCCTTCCAGCTCAGCATATTCTGTGCTCTCTGGTTTTGTGTGAAGTAGTTTAGAAAAATCTCAGTGACATTTCCTTACGGCTGTGGATCTCCTCGTTGAGGTTAAGGAGATGATTCACATCCAGGAGCATTAGAGTTGGTGGTGTAACCCAGGTCCTGATGAGAGTTAGCAGCTCTGCAGCTGACAGCAGGACACTGCTGATTGTACAGCTTCCTCCTGCTGGAAGTGATTTCTGCTCTTGCTGCAAATGAAGAAGATTCTGCATGTGTCTGGAGGACATGTTCTCTTTTTTCTTTCAGCTCTTTGGGTGATGTTTCTCAGTGCTTTGCAGTCAGGTTGCAAATCCTTACCCAGCTCCAGGCTCTGCTAAAAGGTCTTTCCCAGTACCAGCAAAACCAAGGCTGCAAATAACCTGGTTTGGAGGAAGAAGAGCCTGAGGTATGTTTGCTGTTGTCTTTTTTATGCACTGGAGATACTGAGCCAGGAAGGGAGTAAAAAGCATCTTTTTGAGGGACTTGAAAGAGGTATAGGGATATTTAATTAAGCATTTATCACAAAAATTACAGTAGTTAGAATAATTTGATAGTATATATTAAAGTCTTAGCACAGATAATTCAAGTATCAGAAACCAGAGGGCAACCACATAGTTTTTATCAACCAGTTTTGATCACCACTGTTATTATGTGTGTGTGTATATATATATGTCTGTATATATATATATGTATTAACCTTATAATTACAATTTAGTTTTAATCTTGACTGAATAACAGACCTGCCTACACCCTTTCAAATGAAGGTCATCTATTTAGAGGGGGCTTAGTTAGGTTAAACCATTGTCTGTGTAGGTAAGACCACTTGATTTTTCCTTTAGGATATTTTGTTATGTTAGTTAAAAAGCTCTTTGTATCTCTTCTCTGATGCCTGGGAGTGTCTCCCTTTCAAAGCAGTGGTCATGCCACAGTGAGAGATGTCAGGGTGATTGAGGGTGTTAGAGGCTGGAGAGTCAGAACAGACAGCTGGGCTTCTCTCCTTTTGTCCTTACTGTCTTGATGAGTTCTAGGCTCTGTGGAGCTGTGTATTTTTGAGCTTCGTTACTGTCAAAAGTTGTGTCTTGGATCCTCTCAGAAATGCAGCTGTTTAGGGAAAAGGCTCTGAATTCACAGCCATTTCTGGACTTTAGAAGGTGTTGCTGCTCAAAAGTGTGCTTTCTTTTGTCTGTGCAGCAGGACTTTTATACCAGCTAGTCCTTTGCAAACCTGGTGGTGCTTTGGGGGTGCTGGGACACCCCGGCTGTGTCTGTGTCTCTCTCCTCTCTCTGCTTTGAGCCCAGGGTCATCTTCTTAGACTTTGCTTTTTTCTTTATCACGCAGAGGACTTGCACAGGTGTGCTCTGGCATGCTCTAGAACCACAAACCTGATTTTCTAAATCAGGTTTAGAGGGAAAAAAGGGAACTGGAAACTGAGCTGAAGTAAAATTAGCAGTTTACAAGTCTTGGCTTTCTTTTTACGTAATTGCTTCTGAGCAGCACTAGCATACCTTTCTGTAAAAGTAAGGTATACTTAATATCTGTTCTGAAGCTGCCATTGAAGCACAGAAACAATATCTTTGGTTCATTTTTTATCCTAAACCAGCCAGCTTTGGTGGGTTATTATTTTTAATGAATCATCTGGTTCATCTGGTCTATGCTTTTGCTGATAATCAAACAGTTGTTTCCTAGTGAAACACTTTCTAATGTGTGCAGATGATAGTTTCCATTATTATTTACATCAAAGCAGTTAAAAATATTTGTTTAGTGGACCTCTATGGTTAAACACGTACCAAAAGCTAGACCAGCCTTTTACATAATCGTTTATAAAGAGGAAGCAGCTCATGTGGAATCTCCCTTGCCCAGTGCTGGTCAGTAGGAAGGCTTTAAGTGTCCCAGGATCTTGTGGGTACTAAGCTTTGTGCTGGTTCTGGTGTTACCTGCCAGGTGAGCACCCAGGCCTCCCTTTCTGCAGAAGGCTTTGTCCAAGTGAGGTGTTAAGTACCTTCTGAAGGCGTTTCTTTGGTCAGTGTGATCAGTCCCTCTCACTGCACAGCATGTGGACTGCATTGGATGAGTTTTAATTGGCATTTTACATCACCATCTCATTGGCTTTTGACTAGAAAATGGTTTCTTTGCCTTCCCTCTCACTGCACAGCATGTGGACTGCATTGGATGAGTTTTAATTGGCATTTTACATCACCATCTCATTGGCTTTTGACTAGAAAATGGTTTCTTCCTAAAGAAAAAAAATGGGGAAAATATTTTTCTGTTTGCAATTGGAATAAGAAAGATGTGATGTATAGACTCTCCCAGCTTGCATGTCAGGAGTAGGTATCTCCTTGGCTTTATCAGTACCCAGGGAAAGGTTCTCTATCCAAACAGGCTGCAACAGAGGCAATAACTCAGCCCTTTTGGCAGCAGTGGGAAGTGTGGGTTGGCCTCAGAAATTAGCTTTAATAAAAGGCACTCCTCACTTCTTCGCTTTGTGCTTTTTTCTCCTTTAATAAACATAAACTGGCTGGCAGTAACCCGGGTGGAGGAGAAGATGTGGGCTGAGGGAACGGCCACGCACGGAGCCTTTCATCAGAGGATATCAAAGCGCTGCAGCTGAACCTGCAGGGAGCTGGAAGTGCTTATTCTGACAGCTGGGGCAGCACTGAGGGAAGAGCTGCTTCCAAGGTAAAGCAAACTGGTTAAGGAGCAGCAAATTCTTTCATCAACGCACACGAGTCCTTTCGTCCACCTGTTTGCCCCAGATCATTCAAATCGAGCCTGGCAGCGCATGACCTCGTCCTTTACAATCAGGTGACATTTTTAGGTAGGGACTTTTTTGTTGTTTGGTGTTGCCTTATGCTGAGAAATCCTGATAGCTGTGGAAGTGTCACAAGGCATTTCAGCTGTGTTCAGGAAATTAGCCACAACTGTCCTACCTCCCTTACTATCCACTTAAATTGTTCCAGAGCTGGGAATCTGTTCCTGTGAGAGCTGACAGTGCACCTTTTGTGAAGGACAATTTCAGTGATTTGCTCCCCTTCTGTCCAAGTTAAATCTTCTAGTACAGCAGTAGGAATTGGTACTGTAGCTCCATAACTGCCTTACTTGCTGGCATAATAATTATCTTTTTTATTTATGCATCAGATCTTTAAAGAAAAGTGTCTTGAGCTCTAATTCTAGAGCTGGGCATGCCCCTTTTTAATATTAATATGATCTCATAGTGCTAGAATGAAAGGAATAGAGATTTATTTCTCCACCCTGTAGGGAAACTGGTTGAAACAATTTGCACATCACAGAAGGCGCTCGCTGGCAGATCTGGGCTGGGACTCCAGCCTGACGCCGTCTGATCCCGCGTGGCTCTGGCTCTGCTGCTGCCCCAGTGCCAGGGAAGCACTGCTGAAGCATCCAGAGCCTGCACCCCTCTCCTCCTCCTCCGCCCCAGAAACTGCAGCTCATCCTTGTACAGTGTTTTCACTGGGTTTTCCCTCTACTGAGAGAAATCACTGACCTTGGCAAGCAAGCTCAGTGGGCACTGGCAAACAGTAACCACCATGGCCATTGCTGTCAATGCTGAAAAAAGAGGAAGCCAAAAAATTCTTAAATAAACTCAAATATTCTTGCTTCCCTTAGAAGGGGACGGGGAGGTTACGCAATCACTTCCATCTTCTGGGGAGGAAAAGGCTGAATTTGGTACTTCCCTTGTCAGAACTTCTCATCTTGGCAGGCGCTCCTAAAATGATGAAGGCTCTGCCTTGTGACTCTGCAGATGGCAGGGCAGCACCCTGGACCTGGGATGGCTGGGAGGCAGGGCTGGATCCTGCCCGAGGGCTGCAGATAAGGAGCAGAAGCAGGCAGTCTTCAAGGAGCAGCAGGGAGCATAACCCCATGCATTTCAGCTTGGCAGGGAGCTGACTAATAACATTAACTCTTGCTGTGCAGGTGTCAGCTGCTGTGGGAACAGGAGGTGTGTCTGTGCAAGGGAAAGTGCTTTCACCAGGGCATGGCTGGAGATGCAGCCACACTTTTGGGCCCCAGCCTGGCTCACGTTCCCCTGGCCGGAGGGGCTTCAGGTCCCAGTGCTCCCAGCTCCCTTGGCTCCTGGCAGCACTGCAGAGGGAGCCGTTCCCAAGGGTGGCATTCCCGTTGACAGGAATGTATTGGTGTGCAGGCTGATGTAACCTGCACCATCAGCACCTTTCCCAGGTACCTCTGTGTCAGATGGGCCCTTTCCATGCGGAGGTGCAGGGCTTTGATGTGGCCGTGTTCAGCCAGCTGAACCAAACCCAGATTTGGCAGGTTCAATTAGCTGTAGGTACAGCAAAGCTCGGAGTGCTAAGGGGAGCCATTCCATTTCATTTCTATTTCATTTCTATTTCATTTCTATTTCATTTGAATTCAGTGAAATTCATTTGAATTTCAATGAAATTTCATTTCATTTCTTGTATGCTTAAATGGCAGCTCAGGGAGCACACATTTTTCAGTGCTTAGATGAAGAAGGAACCAAAGAACAAACTTAGACTAGCAGTGGGAAACTTCTCCTGACTAAACACAATGTATCTTCCCTGAGTAGTAGAAGTGTGAACTGGCAAAATATGATTTCCACAAAAATAAATGTACCTTGGTATTCTAAGAGGGAAGCCCTAAAGTTCACGTTTCTATTTATTTATTTTCATGGCAACGGAAACCACTTCATGGGCCAGCCCCCAGCCTGGTGGTGGATCTGGGCTTTGGGGGATGTTCTTGTGTTAGTCACCAGTGTAAGTTTTGGAGTTACCGCTGAGATAGGAGGATTAATTAAAAACACCATAATGGCAATTGTGTAGAATTTTCTGACTTGCCCTTGTACAACTTGCATGATTCTAATTTTCTAACACGTGGGATAGTGACAAAGTGAGGAAAATCCATGGGGAGAAGCAGGGTGTGTATGGAGGATCTCTGCAATAGCAAAACCTCTGCATGGAGCCCAGGAAAGGCTGGAAGTAAATGAACCCCGAGCTCAGGGCTTTGACATGTTTTGAAGCTCGAGGAACCCAGGTTTTGCTTTCAGTGAGTCTTCAGAGACCTGAACAGCTTTGTCACTACATGTACACATTGTTAAATGATTAAGTCTGTAAATAGAAATGAACTCAGTAGGTTTTCAAGAAGCCTGACAACTATATGTTCTCAGAAATAGAAAGTATCCTATTTTAATTATTTTTTGGTTAATAGAAGGCAGACTCTTACAAATTGAGGTATGTTTGAGCCTTTTGGAAGAGGGGCTCAAGTTTCTGTAACCATGAATTTGAGACCCATGTGAACAGTAGACAGCAGGAAAATGGTTAATTCAACATTAAAAGTACGGGAAAGCAGTCAGGGAATAGTCCAGCTTTGCCCTTTGGAAGCAGGTGGAAGATTCCATTATCTCTAAGTAGCTTTTTTGGACATGATGTGTTTGATTTATTGCAGATTTAGAAGTCAGGGAATAAAGGGAAATAAATACTTGTGGGATTTGTTTGATGAGGAATTATTGAAGTGGTCAGCTGAAGCTAATGGTGTTGACTTCTCCTTCAGGAGGCAGTAAACTAAACAGGCTCCAGTACCTGCCCTGTGTGGTGTGTAAGTGTGAAGAGTAGAAGCAGCACCCAGCCAAAGTAGAGTAGCCACGGTGGAAATCTTCTAAAGTGAGTTTAAAATAAAAAGTAAGACTAATTAGATTTTATCAAGTTTTTTTTTGACAGCTGTAAAAAAGTACAGAAGTATTTCTCACTCTCAGGTTTTGTTAGCATTCAGTGTATCCATATCGCAGCAATCTGTATATAAAATACCTGTTTATTATTACAAACAAATACAGATGCAAAGGCCTAGCCTTGCAGCAGGTTGATTTAACTATTTTTCAATGAACTTGTTACACAGTTAATTGTTCCTTCAGCTTTGCAGTAGCCCCTTAGCAGAACAGTTTTGCAGCTTCATCAGAACATGGTAAAACCAGAGCAGACCCTGAGCCAGCCAGCCCCTGCCCATAGGTGGGAGGGGCAGCATTAGTTCAGCATTCAAAGCCATCGTGTTGAATACTTTCAGAGTTTGTTTTATGCTTTACAAAGCGCTTTTTGCCCATTAGAAATCAGCATCATCTATGGATGCCTTCCCATCCAGGTCAGCACTTTGGATCTTGCCTAGCTACTTAGATTTGGTTCCTATCTGGGGGCAGCTCATTGGCCCGTGCAGGGCAGACTCGTTGCACAGGTGCAGCCACAGCACCTCTCAGAGCAGCGAGGGACACCGGCCAAGAGGCAGTGGGAACAGGGGCCACGCTGCTTTCCAGCTGCTCAGTGCCACCGGGAGCCAGAGGGGACGGGTGATCATCTAACGAAAAACTGACTCCACCAAAGGCAGGGGCAGGTCCTGCAAACCTCCAGCAGCACCTGCCCCTGCTTTTGCACAACTGACTGGCCGGGAGCGCCTCCAAGCTCAATAATCTCCACGCTCTTTTATGTTTTCATACAAAAAATTTAATAAATATTACTTTTCAAGATTTATTGCCAGGAACAACACATCAAAGATGCATTTTCATATAACACTAATATCACAATACAAGGTATCTTCATGATCTCAATGGTTAACCACTGAGATGACTATGTTTATAAGCCTTTTGATCTTAAACATCGTAATAGCACTTTGATTTCCTCACTTGTTAAGGCGGGCAGTGTAATCTATGGCAAACCTACACAGTGATCTTACTGGACATTCTACTGTTCAAGTATTCAACAACTAGCTTATTAGAATACTCCCTAAATGCAGTAGATTACAAAAAAAAGTCAAATCTACAAGTGGTTCAGTATTACATATTCATGGTGAGAAAAAATAATTAGAATTTACAAAATAAGATTGCTGTGTTTCCAACTTCACACGCTAATTTGATATTTTTAATTACATGCAACCACTCACATTTCATCTACATAAAGTAATAGCTCAGTTTTGTTCCCTTAAACTGCTTCTTAGCAGATTATCTGCCTGTCACTCGGTTTTCAAGTCTAAAGCAGCAAAAAAAAATTTCTAGTCTAATTCTCTAAACTGCCTCAGTCAGTACTTACAAATAGTCTTAATGTGATACTATGGAAGGTGTTTCAAACATTTGACATTGTACAAAAACCAGCATCAAGGCATGAAAGCCCATCCTATTAAAAATAAACTATTTTAGAACACCTTAGTTTTGGCATATAGGCAACATGTAACAAGAAAATAAATTCAAAATAGAGAAGCCACGAGCTTACAATGCTATCAAAAACCTTCAACTCTAAACACATACATATAAATAAAAAGGAATGATATTTTAAGGCTCTTGATTATTAAGTTAATAAATCAAATATACACAGTGATTAATAAAAAAGAATTATTTACATATCTATACAAACTTCTATTTTTGACACATTTTCCTCTTTAAATTCTTCATTTACCAGCAACTGCTGACAAGTTCCCCCCACCCACCCCCAACAAAAATACAATAAAAAAATAAATAATAAACTTATTTTTGATAGTTGCTGTGGTTCCGAGCTGCAAAGGCACTTTCAAATACAGAACTAGTTGTACGTCACCATAAAACCAATATACAAAAAACTCAAATTCAATAAATATAAATAAAATGTATTATTCTAAAGAAACTGTATAAATCGGAACATCTGGCAGAAAAAAAAAAATGAACACTAAGGAAGAGTAATAAGGCTATGTAATACCTTATGGAACGTTTCTGTGATGGATCAGCTGCAGCTGAATTTACAGGAGGGCACTTTTGACTAGTTTTGCATAGATGTGAAATGCAGCACTTGGTATTCCAGCCAACCACAGCAACTATCATTGCCAGTGTAAGCCAGCTTGTCCAAACTTAAATTAACACAGGGATTCTAAGTAAATAATAGCCTTAGACTCAAATATTACACAACAGTTTAAGAACTACAAGCTCTTGAGTGCCTTTACAATGATACTCAAAGGCCCTGCATGGCAGCACCCCACCGTCTGCTATACGATGTACTCCATCCGATTTAGGCTTTGTGCACTTTCCAAGTCTCTGTTGTCCTGTTTATTTGTCCAGTTTGGGTGTTTTGTAGGGGTGCTGTTGGGGGGCTTTTCATCTCTGTCTACCAAAGTGTAGGCTGGCTGCTTGGCAAATCGGGCCTTCTGCTGGTGCTTGTCCATGTCATCCTCCTCCACCTCGGAGTTGTGTGTCCTTATTTTGGCGATTTTAGAGTTTTTGTTTTCGTAGTCTTTAATGGGGACAGTGTTTGCTCCGTGTTTCTCAATGGGGTTTTTGATCTGGTTCAGCTGCTCCCTGACGTTGTTGGTGGTGTTGTCGTCAGAGGCCGTGTGGGTGTGGCTGCTCTGCTTTCGGCGCTTTCGGATGCACCAGTAAAACACGGTGACCAGGCAACAGATCCAGGCTACTGTCAGCACCGAGCTCAGCAAGGGCACCAGGAAATCTGGAAGAGACAGGAGACAGTTAGTCCTGCTGCAGACTATGGGGGACGCTTTGGGATGTCTCAGAGAAAACAAATCTCAGGGCTAGTGCCTTGTTACTTCCTGTATTTCTCCACCAGGAGCACGGAAGGGTAGCAGCCCTTTTGCCAGGTTCAGCAAACCTTTAGCATGTTTTTTTAGGGTTTTCAGCAATAAAAAGACCTTGGGTGCCCAGCCTCCCCACTGTTCCCGATGAACAGGGACTGGCTGGAAGTCTGCAAAGGGAGGAGAGGCTGTGGCCCGTGGCAGGGGTGCTGCAGGAGCTGGGGGCCAAGGAGAGCTCACCCGTTTTGCTCTTGGCCGGCCGCCGCTGCACCCTGACCTCGGCCACAGCAGCGATGAGCGTGTTGTTCCCGTCGCGCTTACTGACGAGGTCGATGATCTTATCTGTGATGTCTTTGATGGGGTTTTCATCCTCCCCGATGTCTTCTGCAGACTGCGGGAGGAGGCACACTATTAACACCAAGCACCACATCAGATGCACGGGGGAACCTGCTATTTATAAGCCTTCACAGGCAGTGAAGGCTCCTTCTATAATAAAACAGAATCAAAGCAAAATGGCCTGCTGTGGGCAGAAACTAACAGTTCAGAATTCTTGTCCTCATCCTTAAAAAGACCAAAAAACCCCCAAAAGCAAGAGTCTAACTGAGAAAGGTTTTACTCCCCCTATTACAGTTGCCCCCAAGATGGCAGCTTTCAGGTACACACACGTAACCAGAATTCCTTTCCTATTCTTAATCGGCATCAGGATGGAAACTAAACCACAAGAAGTGCTGACAAAGCCAGGAATTAATATTTTTATGAAATCCACGTGTTGCATACATATCCAAGCAAT